CCACAACCATGAAATCACAGTACTTAATTTTATTTTGTGGATATTAACAGTTTTACAGAAATAACAAATGCAGTTCTTCATGATAACTTACATCTTTGAAACTAAATAGATTGGCTAATATAATAAGGAACTTCATAATGTAAAGCATGTGATGTATGCTTTGTGGTATTCTGGTAAACTGATATTCAATAGGTAGCTAAAAATTTCTGCAATACAGTAGGTTCAGGAAATAACATATTTAAGGGAGAGAGAAATCCAAGGGCATATCAACTTTGACAAATGTCTGAGATGAGCTTGCCCTGCTCCATGTAATGGACACAGAGCCAAACTGGTACAACTTTCCATGAGACAGTCATTGCAGTGTGTAACATAAGGAGAACGATCAGTACATGTTTATGATTATTTAATACATGAAACTAATATACATATGTGTTCTATACTTGTTATTGAAGGGTAAGTAACAGCTAGTGCAATTGATATTTCAATGAAGCTTTTGTAAGTTAGAAATTATTTTAACAATTACTGTCATCTTTCACAATATTGCTTTGTATGTGTTGGTTTCTTTAAGTTCAAACTATTATTTTTTCAAACAGTTGACTAAGAACAAAATGAAGATATGGAACTATAGTTAATGAATGGTAATGAAAATGGTTTCAGAAACTACGAGAGAGTAGATACATTACCTTAAAACTTTAAAAGATTTTTTCATTTCAACATATATATATATCTCATAGATTTTGCAAAAAGTGAGAATATTAAATATGTTTAAATATACTGAAGTATTCATACTGTAGCTCTGTTTGAGTTGTTTCAACATTTTTTTATTAAAGTTTTATAAATAAATTGTATTATTTTCTTTTGATAGGTGTGAGGGGGAATTAGAGAGGACTTAATATCAGTTAAGGGACTACTGAACTTTAGTTTTGGGAGTGTTAGAAAAATCTTTGAGTTCTGAGTCAATATTGGGTACCAATTTAGTAATTGTAAAAGAAATGCAAACAAACAATTTTTTCACTATCTGTGAAGGAGATATGTAACAGAAGTGTAACCACTTTTTGATTGTAACATGTTTTTTCTGTAAAAGTATTCAAGTTTTGAAGATATATATTTGCTATTTGGGGAATGGTATCATTAGTGCATAGTAGTACAAGTACACCACCAACTTTAAAATAATGCGATGTGTAGTAACAATATTTTTGAATACATTCCTAAAACTCTTCCATTTTTTGAATGCAATGTTAGCATATTTTCACTGCTCAGTTGATCCATTGCACATATTTCTTAAAATCATCATTGGCTGAGGTATTGAAATGGTTTATCTACAAGTTTAGTCAATGAGTAAGTTTCTTATTACTCCTAAGCATTTCTTCCATAGGTAGTTGTAAGTGACAGCTGCAAAGTTTAGTGTTTATGATTAATATAAGCTATTGTCAAAATGTAAAGATTTATCCTGTACAAATGTTTAACAATATATTGGAATTTTTGTGACCATTTTCATTTTAATTAGCAGCATTAATCAGTATTTCATGTTTATGAGGTGTAGAACTGAGATGAATGTATATTCGTTTCTGTAATAAATAGTGTTTTATAAACTTAGAGGTTTTGTTTTCTTTGTTTTGGATCTTAGTATTTTGTTGAACAATTTAGAAGCACACTAAGGGTGAAAAGATATGTTTGAACATATTTTAAGTTGGAGAGGTTTCATTTTAGAGCACCTCTAACTTTTAAGTGTTCCTGAGATCCATGCTTATTGTGGGGGCAACAAATCTTTTGTACTCACCACCAACTTGGAGTCATCTCATGCTTCCTGAGATCCATGCTTATTGTGGGTGCAACAAATCTTTTAGACTCACCACCAACTTGCACCTCTAACTTTCAAATGTTCCTGAGATCCATGCTTATTGTGGGTGCAACAAATCTTTTAATTCACCACCAACTTGGAGTCATCTCATGCTTCCTGAGATCCATGCTTATTGTGGGTGCAACAAATCTTTTGACTCACCACCAACTTGCACCTCTAACTTTCAAATGTTCCTGAGATCCATGCTTATTGTGGGTGCAACAAATCTTTTGACTCACCACCAACTTGCACCTCTAACTTTCAAATGTTCCTGAGATCCATGCTTATTGTGGGTGCAACAA